CCTTACCTAGGCTCAGGAATAGAGAGATCAAGCCAGGAATGGTTTGAATCAGGATGGGTCGTCACTTAACAACCAGTGGGGAATGCCAGGGTTTAGCAATGAAAATTCTGGTGCCAATTATCATCATAACTTAAGGACTGCCTTATACATTTTTAACTTGAGACTGGGTAATATATTACATAGCACTTGATGCACATATCTCATTTTTAAGAAAAGATTTTGTGACATCAAAACCATTCATCCCCATAAGCTCTACAAATATCAAGTGTGCACAGATTGGCTTATATTTTAAACCAGACATGATATATAGATTTTAAAAAGTCCTGAGCTTCTGGTACTGTGTAGATCCGCCTCTCCTAACTGCTGCTGAAGAATTCTTGGAATGCAGTTATACTTATTCAATAAATAGCTAATGAGTGTTTTGAACATTCTGTGTAATAGTAGAGAATTGAAACTCTGATTTATTTTAGAAAATACTGATGTTTATAGTTCTTTCTTGATGTTACAGAAACCACAGTAATTAGCATTGGCATGTGATAGACAAAACATTCCTTTATATCAGGCAAATTTTACTGTTCTTTTTATCCTGTTGGTATGCAGGATTTGTTGTTGTTGTTGTTGTAAATGGCTTTCTTTGTGCATCAAGAGAAGGAATTTAATCTTTTAATTCATAATGTGAATCATAACATATCCACTTATTTTCCTTGAACTGGGCAGTATACACTAAAATGCTCTGGAAACACATGGAATAGTTGTTTTGAGAGTTAAACCATATAAAATATTTAGTACTAATATATAACATTCTTTCTATCTCTCAATAAAAAATCATCTACTTTGAGTAAGCTAAAATTTGAATTATTACTGCTTCTGAAATAGTCTTTTTTTACTTTCTCTTTGGGTTTTGGGTATTGAGGGACATACAGGTTCTTGCTTTTATGTTGGCCTCAACCATTGTTTATTGATGCTGTTGTCATGTGTCTTTGATGCTGTCTCTCCATCTTCTTCTGGGTCTGCCTTGTGTTCTTTGACCTTCTCCTTTTTTTGCACACGCCTTATACAGTATGGAATCCCATGACATCCTCTCCAGGTAAGCAAACCACTTTATTTGTTGTTTTTATATGTTGTTTAAGATTGGTTCTATGTCAATTCTTTCTCTTATGATCTCATTTCTGATTTTATCTCTTATGGTCACTCCAGCAGCTTTCCTCAAACATCTCATTTCCGTAATGACTACCTTTTTTATGTTTTATTGTAAGTGTCCATGTTTGGCACCAGTAACTTAGAGTATGGATGAATATATTTTGCATGAGATGCTTCTTTGTGCTGATCAGTAGGTACTGCCTTATGTTGTAGGAGAGGAGCAAGCTATCCTAATACTTGGTTTATCTTACTGCATCATATGTTAATCTCTTCATTCATTTTACCATCTTCCATGAATATTTTTCCTAGATATTTGAACTTTGATACTTGTTTTACGCTTGTTCCTTCTATTATTATGTTTAGTAGAAGGTCAAATATGACAGTTGAACGGACACTGAAAAATGAGAATAACTTTAAATCAGAAAATGTGTTGCAGACAATTAAGTAGGAAATCTGTTATTCTTATTTCACTTATTAATTTGCAAAGCTAAATGAGATGGGATTATTTCAATATCTAACAGGCATGTTCCCTCTTGAAGAGCAATTATACAATCCATTGAGTATTGTCTCAGTCAGGCATCTCCCTCTAGTGGTGGACCTCCACTAAATCTACTCTTTTGTGGCCATTACCAAAGCCTTGTCTACTTCAATCTTCAACTAAGTATGTAAGTCAGAGTAAAAGTTATAAACAAGTAAAAGAATAAGGAAAATAATTGTTAAAGTATTCATCTACAGCCAAAGGCTTGCTGAAAAAATGTTCTTAAGTACCTTCTAAATATCAGAATTGTAGGAACTGACTGTGCCAAAATAATAATGAATTTATAATAAATCAGACATTTAATTTAAATCTCTAAAATTAAAAAAGTGCTGAGATTATGTTTCCAGAAGGAAGCTATTTAAGTCATTCATCTTGTGATTGCATTATAGTAAAATCTAAATAAGGGAACTTTGTCAGGCATAATTTGGTGAAAGTTTCTTAACAATATAGAAAACATTTAAGCCCTTTTAACTTCAATATTTTTCCCATTTCACTCATATTTGGTATCAAAGGTTTTTGGGAAGAGAGCTACATACTATACTGTCTGTTTAAACAACAGTGAGAAAACCCAAGTTCTGCCATTTTTATAGCCATCCTAGCATCGGTCATAAAGAATAAGGCTCTAATTATAGAAGAAGAAATTCCACTTCCAACTTCCAACAATGTTAGTTCCTTTTAACCAAAGCAGATAGTGGCATCTGGTTAAGCTTGGCTAATCTTGAAAAAGCTAAGTATAGATAAACCTGATTAATATTAGAATTGAAGACTAATCTCAAGGTTATAGCCCAGTCTGGGAAGCTGAAAAAATAATAATCCTGAAATAAGGTGGCCGCCAAGCACTTGCGTATTGCATGTGTGATTTGTCATCAAGTTATGGAGCACAAATTTAATACTCCAGCATTTGCTTTTAAAAATCTATAATTTTATTTGTTCTTGTACTGAAATCACATGTTGCCTTTTAAATTGGAATTTGTTCTTTAGGATTTTTTAAATTATTTCTGTGCTGTGATGTTAATACTGAACATATGTTATAAATATCAAGTGATATTACTTGCTATTTACATTCAGTGAGTCTAACATAGTAGGAATGGTATGCAGAAACACGTGATCTGTCTTCTAGTGTACATGTAGCTTGGTGTCTGAGTGTCAGTTTTTTGTTCAATCGGGAATATTGTAAATAGCATGCAGAGAGCAGTTATATTATCAATGGAATTTTATAGGAAAATATAGGTATTGTACAAAGTATATCATCACTGTTGTTTTCTCTTGTGGCCAACAAGATATTCCAGCTATTGTATATTGCAAAATACAATTTTTGATTATGTCATCTAATCTCTTGTAAGTTCTAGAATTGAAATAGAAGAGAATAGAATTCTTTATTGACCAAGTGTGATTGGACACACAAGGAATTGGTCTCCAGTGCATAAGCTCTCAGTGTACATACAAGCAACAAGTGATAACTGTGTTGTCTATATTGTAAGAGGTGTAGAATAGGAGGACGTCTCCTTAAATCTACTATCATCTCTACAGTTTTGAGTGTGTTCAGTTCAAGATTGTTCCAGCTGCACCACAGGGCCAATTGTTCAGTCTATCTGTTAGAAAGCTTAATATCCATTTACAACAGATTCTAGTATTATTTATAATATGAGAGCCAGTTTGGTGAACTGGTTAAGGCATCAGGCTAGAACCCAGGAGAAATGAGTTCTTTATTTTAGTTAATAATTTACATTTAGGAAATAAACTGCTTGAAAATCTGTCATCAATTATATTAAAAGTTATGTTGTAATACAGATTGTTTGACTGTGATTATATAATCGTTAAAAAACCACAGAGGCTGCTTCACTGATTTTATGCATTTGAATTTTTGTTATATATAAATAAAGCATACTGTTTAGTAATATTAATATACTAGCAAGTTATATCAATACATTAAGAATATATTTGAATATATTTGAATAATAGCCCAATTTTTTTAGAAAAATAAAATTTACAAAGAAATATTAGTGCTTTTAAAAAAAATCATTGCTATAAATTATATATATATAATTGTTACATTGTATAGAGTAATTTCCTTTTTTGGAGGATAATCTAGAAATGCTATAAAATGCATATATATGATAAGTATCCAGAGCATGATACTAATACATTATTAAGAGTGTCTGGTCACAAATCTGTGTTCTGTTAAACGGATGTTGTTTTCTTGTTCCTCTCTATCTTTCATAGTACTGCACATTATGAGGCATGAGTGTGCTTGTTTACTTATAGAAATAATAATAATTCTGCTTCATTGGCACATTGTACTTTATTTGAATTTATTTAATGTAAAAAGATAGAAAGGAAATAAAAGTATAAAAGCAATGAGAACGTGTATTTCCCCATATAATCTATTATTCATGGTTTATTAATTTAATTAAATTTATAAAATATAAGGTAGGTTTTGAGACCCCCTGGGGCTGGACAACAAAGTAAAATGAATTGAGTATATAAACAGCATGAGAACTTTATAGAGAAGTTCTCTCTCTCTCTCTCTCTCTCTCTCTCTCTCTCTCTCTCCTCTCTCTCCCCCCTTCCTTCCCTCCCTCTCTCTTGTGCTTTCAAACTTTTTTGTGAAGATACATTTGGACTTCTGAAATTGATTATGCATTCTGTACCAGCTTCTGCCTAGTCTAACACCATTGAAATAACCTCCAGGGCATTATAATTAATCTGTAGATTAGAACTCAACAGTACCACTGTAAAAGGAAATGATCATAGTGCCACAACTCTGATGAACTCACATAGAAGCATTGTATGTCAGTGAAAACCATTTGTGAGACAGCTCTTCAAATACTGAAAAATCATATATTTAAAAATGCAGTTTGGGCTTCAGTTTAGTTGTTAACGAAGACCCTTAACTGCAATGCATACCTTACATGGGTTTATAATTTTATACAAAAATTAATAATGACAGCTATGATGGAATGAGTCTTTGTTTCCTGTACTAGAAAATAAATTTTTCATTTGTATGATTCACAAAGAATATTCAGTAGAACATATTAAGCCTAAATCCAGCAGATTTATTATTCTTTAGCTATACTTCGCATACTGTAGTATTGTGGCTTGGAAGCTTCTTTTTGATCTGCCATTCGTCTTCATAAATGAAATGACTGGTTGTAAATCCTTTGTAAGATGACAATTACATGTCATCAATCACTTTCTTTGCTTTCAAGGATTTAATAAGGATGTCAGGAATAATATCTTACCTCTTAGTCATAATTTAGTGAAAAATACCTACAGTTGACATTGATCAAACTTGGTTAAAATTATTGCTATTACTTTACAGTGCTGCCAAACTTCTGGACAAGAATATATTTACTGTCAACACCGCAAATCCACTGCTTCCTTCTTCTGCAAGTCTTCAGCTGGCTCAGCTTCAAGCACAGCTTACACTACATAGATTAAAATTGGCTCAGACAGCAGTCAACAACAACACAGCAGCTGCAACTGTCCTGAACCAGGTTCTTTCTAAAGTGGCCATGTCTCAGCCACTTTTCAACCAATTAAGACACCCTTCCATGTTTAATACCCTTCCAGGACATGCTGGTGGTCCTGGGGCCACCAATACTAGATTTCCACCTGGTGGAATACATTTTCCAACACAGAACCCACCTTTGGCAGCCCAAGGTGGAACCCTGGCATCAGTAAGTAACCTTTCAAATCAAAATGTTAGTACTGTAGTCCTAAACCCTTTTGGGGGTGTAATTTCTCAAACTGCTGGACAACAAGCTGTATCTATGGGTCTAAATAAAACTAGTGCCTCCTCTACTACAGGTGGATTTTATGATTACAATAAACAGATATTCCCCTCTGATGCTGGTCAATGCGGTCAACAGAGCTTTATAACCAGTGGTTCTCATCCAGTCCCAGTGTCATCTGGAAATGGAATGTCTGAAGGCCAACTGGGATTTCAGAAAGAGTTTTATGGAACTGTGTCTAAAGGCCAGCATACAACCTGTACACAGTCTTTGACATTTGCTGCTGACTCTCAAAATTCTCATCAGAATCAAAAGGGAAAGATGGGTTCTATAGTACATGAAAGAGAAACGAATAATCAATGGGAAAATCCTTCTACTTTCTCTAGTCAAAATAAAATTGACATGCCCAGTGCAAATATGTGGCCATCAACAAATGTCCCTTATGAAGTAAGGAGTGATCTCTATAACCCCGAGGAACCAACACCAGACACAAAATTTAGTGCTGGTTCTCCACGTTTTTTCAGCAGAACTAAAAATGGTAAACAGAATTATAGTAATTCACAAACAAGACAAAAGCAGGAACCTGTTACCTCTGGATTGCCAGTGAGGCCTCTTCAGTCCGATGAATTAAACGACTTTCATAGTATTGTACCTCTTTGCTTCCCTCACATTTGTACCTTATGCAGTAAGAAGGTATTTGACCTTAAGGTAAGTTTGCTTCAGATCTGGGCCTTCTTAGTAAATTGTCTCTTTCCAGGTAGTAACTGCTTCACTGCTTAAGAACTACCATATCTGGGTTGCTTTATCAATAGAATCACTGCATCATATTTTCCTGACACGATATATGTATCTTTAATTTTAAAAATAATGAAATAAATTTCTATCCAAAATCACATTGGTATATTGTAATTACTATTGTAGTTACTAGTTTCTGATACTATTCTACATACATATGCATTTGATGTCTCATTAACATTTCTAAATGAAAAGATGAAAGGTCATTAGAATTGCCTAGATAATTTTAATTTGGGTAGAATAACCACCACCAGATAAAATTTGTTCTACATCATTGATGTAGATGTGCATATGTGTAATGTGCAGTTTTGTTCACGTGTGTCCAGTGACATTTCTCTAGATGGGATTAACATAAATTGAAATTGTTTTCTTATCAATAGCGGCATCACCCAATTGTACAGAGTAATGGGATTGAATGACTTCTGGACCTATTTGACTGAATGAATGATTTAAAGTCTTCATTTTGGCTACCTATTTTTCAAAATATACTGTAACATCTTTTCTTTTATCATAACTTGATGAATGCTACAGAAATTTTTCATAAAAAATAACTACTATGGATACAGCACACAAGATGTATCTCTTCTGGTATTTCATTCTATCTTTCTTGTTTTTTAATTGAGGACTGGGATCAGCACATTAAAGGAAATCTTCATGTTCAGAATTGCTTGACTTTCTCAGAGAAGTGAGTAGTTGAAATATATTGATGCCTCTAATTATTTCATAATCATCTTTAGTCTCTTATATTTGTATGTGTGTATGAATATATATCTATATACATATATACTCATGCTCAGAAAACAATATAACAAATAGATTTTTTTTCAAAAGAAAAAGAAACAAATGTATCATTGTGACTGGCAATCCATGACAAATATTAATATTAAAATGTAGCTTTGAGTAATGAGATTTCTACTTGTCTAAACTGTCCTCCATATCAATGGATGATCTCCCCTAATCATTTTGTGTAGATGTTAAAAGGGAGAGGTGAAAGGCTTGAACCCGGAAGCACCCCACATTGCAAAGACCTAGGGCACCCCACCCACCCTGTCTGGAATGACTGCAGAAGAAGGAATACCACCATAACACAATGCTTCCCGCTCCCAAACCTGAAGTTGGTCCAAAAGAGTACCATGGTCAGGGATATCAAAAGCCATGGAAAGATCCAGTAGGGTCAGAATGGTTGTGCCACCTCCATTCCAAGCCTTTGAAAAATTATCAACAAATGCAACCAGTGCCATTTCAGTATTGTGCCCTGGTCTGAACCCAAATTGAAAAGATTTTAGATGATCTGCCTCATTTAGGATCCACTGTAGTTGTGTATCAACTCCTCAGTAACCTTCCATAAAAAGGAAAGGTTGAAGACCGAGTCAAAGTTGTTTAACACTGTTGAGTCCAAACATGGTCTCTTGAGAAGAGGGCACAACACTGCCTCCTTCAAAAAGTTGCTTTCAGGGGTGAAATGGGTGGAAAATTTAATAAATAAAGCAGGTGGTACCATCCCTTCCTGAAAAGAGACATTGATCACCGCTTGGACCCAACAACATGCCACCTTAATTGGCCAACTAAAGGGGTATGGGCCATGTCCACTTCCTCAAGAGCAACTAGCCTGAACTCCTCCCAGATAACAAGACTCAGATGTAACTCTGTAACATCCAAAAGATTTACCTAGCCAGAGCCTGGCCCCAGGTGAAATTGAGCAACTTTATCTGACAGATATTTAGAATATTCCTCACAGCAACCTTCCAAGGGTTCACTGTATTCCTTACCTAGGAAGGACCTGGATGCAATAAGAGCAGAGAAGTAGTTACACTAAACAACTTTTATTGCCACAAGGTAAGTCTTAATATAGGTTATTATACCTGTGCTCAGTCAGTATTATTCTTTGTTTTCCTCAAGCAGTGCTTGAGGTGTCTCATGTCACTTCATTTCTTGGAACTCCTCTGTAAGCCATGGTGCTCTACGAGACCCATGTAGACAGAGAGTCTGGTCCATGGAGCCCATCATCTGCTCATTCCAAGCTATGACCAGGCTTCTGCCTTTAAGCAGAATTCCAGGAAGAATCTCACATTCCCTTTGAAAAGGCACTGGGTCCATCAGGTGCCTTGGTGGGCCACTTGCCTGAGATAGGAGGTAGCTGTGGAGAATTCTAGGGCCAAGAGAGCATGGTCCTTCCATGGCAAGGGACTGATATTAATGTTCTGCAAAGCCAGATCATAACATCACTGTCAAGGCAAACACAAGATCTAATATGCAACCTCCCCCCATGTGAGTAGGACCATGGATAAGTTGGACCAGGTCCATGGTGACCATGAATTCCTGCACTACCTTACACCCCTGGCCTAGAGAAGCAGATTGAAATCCCCCCATACTATAAGTCTAGGGCAGTGGTTCTCAACCTTTTTAATGCCGCGACCCCAACCGGTCGTAAGTCAAGGACTAAACCGGTCGTAAGTCGAGGACTAAACCGGCTGTAAGTCGAGGACTACCCAACCAGTCGTAAGTCGAGGACTTTCCCTGCCCGGGAGCGCCGCGCATGCGTGCTTCCGCCCCCTGCGCCGGCCGAGGCGTAGCTGGCAAGCGGCAGAGACGGAGCAGGCCGACCACCAGCTGGCCCAGCCCAAGGGAGGTAAGGCACCCGCCGGAAAAGGGGGAAAAAATGGCGGACAAAAAAAATGGCGGACAAAAAAAAATGGCGGACAGCCTTGCTTGGCGACCCCCGTGAAATGGTCGATCGACCCCAAATGGGGTCCCGACCCACAGGTTGAGAACCACTGGTCTAGGGAACTTCGCTGGCAACTCAGACACAGAGTCCAAGAGTGTAGACAGGCCCGCTGCTACCCTGCAGGGTGGAAGATAAGTGAGCAGCAGTCCCTATTGCTCCCTATGGCCAACCTCATAAAAGTGGTGTTTGTGGCACGACAGATTGCAGGTGCTCTACTACAGATATTTTTGTGAACAGTCTCAGCTACACTGTTAACAAAAACAGAAGGAATGTTTACTGAATTCAGATACAATTCTCACTTGAAAATTCTCTATTGGTTGAATTTTTTTAAAGACTTCAAAAATACTCAGGAGTACTAACTTAATGTTAAGCTTTATGCTTAAAATTTCATAATTTCTGTTACTGAGGTAGTATTATTATTGGATTTCTTCAATATAAAAATAATCTGGTAACTAAACACATTAAGTTCTGACCCATGCATTCTTATTCTATAGCTGAATTTCTACTTTTGTTTCTTTTTTTTAGCACTGATATTCATTGTATGTTGCATTCAGCAGCAGAAGGAGTATTGCATTCTTCCTCCCCAAATAATAAAACTGTGTTTAATCTGTCTAGTACTGAAGGTAATTATCCAAGTAATATATATAAACATACAGTATATATATATATATATATTGAATTGGAATATAGTTGACACAAGGACACATTTCATTGATTATTTAAGGAATGTAATCATAATAGCTAAATTAATCTCTGTTTGAAGTTTTTATTTTCCCCCCCAAGAATGGAAATATACAATGTATTTTTCAGAATATTTATGAATATAAGTATATTGGTAAAATGAAAAGGATGTAATATAGTATAACTGTTGTGATCAAATTATCTTTCCTGATTATTTTGATATGTTTTGAAGTAATGACTTAGCATAGCCTTTCTGTAAATTCCTCAATGACTTACATCATTCATTCATTCATTCATTCATTCATTCATTCATTCATTCATTCATTCATTCATTTTCTATAGTTGCCCAACTCAACAAAGTAACTAAGGGAAACTTATAATTCTAAAATTATAAAAACAAAAGAATTAAAAAACATTAAAACAATAAAAACATACACAAAATAAATAGGTACAAACAGAAGCCGTGACTAGAGAAGTTACTATCAAGTTATAGTAAAGTCAAGTAACAGGGCCCTTAATGCATTCCAAACCCCAGGCCTGGGTACTTAGCCAAGTTCTTAAAGCTTTGTGAAAGCTAACAGGGTTGGGGCCATTCTAATCTCCAGTATTGCATAAGGCAGGGGCTACAGCAGGAAACCCCCCCCCCCCCATCTTCTAGTTCCCACTCACCTCAGTCAGCACTCTGCCTTACAGGATCTGCAGCATGCCCAATCTGTTGGATCAGATTAGAAGGGTCGAAGCTCTTGGAAAAAGATGAATCATTTATTTATTTATTTATTTATTTATTGAATTTATATACCGCCCTATCTCCCTTACGGGACTCAGGGCGGTGAACAGGCGATAATAAAAACCATGATAAATATAGGCAGTTCTAAAATCAAATTAAATAACGGACCTGTTCTAAAAACACACCCATACAAACCCCCCCACTAAAACATAATCAAACTACGCCAGGCCGGCCGCACGGAATAGATGGGCCTTCAGGGCTCGGCGAAAAAGGCGCAGGTCCGCAACTGTACGTGTATCATGTATCTTATGTCACATATTATTTCCATACTATTCTTTAAAACAGCTTTTTGTTTTCCTAATGCATTTAAACAAACTTATCATGCACTTTAGCAGAGTACAACTACATTCATCACATCCTGGGTTCATCCCAACAGTTGCTTTAATGGTGGGTGTGTTTAAAATAAGCTCATAGAAAATAAATACCTGTCGTTACTAGGTTATACATTACTTTCAATGGTGCCAGAGCACACCTTATTTTCTTCGAAGTACCAACACGTATACAATTACATCATAATGCAGATAATAATCTTATCTGCTTACCCTCACATCTGAGGGAGACATGAGTTGTAGTTTTTGCATGTATCTTCAGGATACATATTTCATAATTTGCCCCTCCCCCTTGT